TACAATTTTTTTTTGGAAATGGAAAATGTAAATCCAGAAATGTGTTATGGTTATACATTTTTCTGGCTTGTATTACAAGTGGCGTACAAGTTGTGCCCTTGGGAAAGACAATTAACGCGCATTTCCCCCCTCAGTTAGAGGGATCCTGGGCCCTACTAGGGTTTGGGTTGGCGTTAGGAAGGGCATCCAGCCGTAAAAATCTTGCTTCAGAAAAAGACTTGCACTTGGTGCAAGCACGTCAAATCCCTGGTTCGGGGAAAAAATATGTTTAAAAAAGAATTACAGTATGCTAAAGGAAGAACTTTGTTAGTCAAGTTAGGAAGTTAAGAAATGCCCTTGTGTGTTGGACCACAGTTCAATGCCTGTACGCTCCACGGAGGTAAGGGACAGGAGCAGCGAGAGTTTGCGCTCAACAACCTGAAGCAGGGCGCCAAGGACATCCTGGTGGCCACCGACGTCGCCGGGCGGGGCATCGACATCCAGGACGTCTCCATGGTCATCAACTACGACATGTCCAAGAACATCGAAGGTCAGGACAAAAAACTTATCATATTCACATGGATTTATGAGCATTAGATGGCAAGCACAAAAAATGTGCTTATAAGGTCATTTGCTCATCAAGAACATGAAACATAAGAAATACTAGCCTGGGTTCCAGACCTACATATGTATAGCACACTGGACACAAAATATCTCAGTGAGCCTGGGTCTGGTAGGGTCAGATAGACCTGCCAGTCGAATGCTCAGTATATCTGAGCGTAAGGCCCCATTGGTGGCACAGCAGGAAGCAATTTTACACCTCTGCTATGATTGGTTAATTAAAAACTCCCAGTTGTATCTTTGAATCTTCACCAGCAGATGAGATAAAACTGTAAATAAGGTGTATTTTGTCCTGGTGTGATAGAGGACTGTTACCTAAACAAACAGGAAAGCCTGGGCTGTACACTACTTCTGCTGTTAAATTAAGTTCTGCTGTTATTTTGGAAAACAAACTCCAAATACATCTAGAAAATTGACTGGTTAATGATTAACTGTTGAGCCCAAGATTGTCTCCTGCTGACCAATGGTGGTGCCATGTAACCCAGGCTAAAAAACCTAGGCTAAAAAAATACAGTTTGAAATAACAAATACAAAATGTGTAACAAACATAAAATGACAGTGGCTGCCGCACCAATAAACATAAAATGAATGTTAATAGACAAATAAGTATACAATAAATTACATCTTCCAGACTGAGAGATGTAAGTGTCAAAAATACATGTACAGATAAGAGTATTGGAGGGAGGGGCTACTGGTAAGGAGTAAAGTGCATAATGGGGTATGTGGTGACATGTGGTGACATGAAACGTCTGTTGTAGCATCTATTATAACTTTTCCAGGATTAACAAAAAGACAAGAATGTGTAGTAAAAGGATCAATTAGGTTTAGGTAATAAGTTATTGCCCAGTGTTGAACAGCTTGTTCAGTCTAAATGGATGTATATGTTTTAACATTTAAGAATCGTAAACAAAATTCATCCAAAAATTTCAACAAAATACTTCCTACTTTTTTATAGACCTATGTATAGGCTAAAGATCTGTAAATTGTTGACAAACTAAAAGATAACTGCAGCTGTGAAAAGAACTTGAATTAGGTTGTTTAGAATCCTCGAATGCAAAATAGAACTTGCAAATGGAAGGCTAAGAATTCTGATGATGTGCATTGTGTTCCACAGACTACACCCATCGTATTGGTCGTACGGGTCGCGCCGGGAAGAGCGGAAAGGCGGTGACGTTCCTAACCAGCTCGGACGGGCCGGTTATGTACGACCTGAAACAGACCATCCTGGACAGCCCCGTCTCCACCTGTCCTCCTGAACTGGCCAATCATCCGGACGCACAGCACAAACCTGGTACTGTGCTCACCAAGAAACGCCGGGAGGAGACCATCTTTGCTTAGAAACACAGAGAGGAGACCATCTTTGCTAAGAAACACAGAGGAGAGACCATCTTTGCTTAGAAACACAGAGGGGAGACCATCTTTGCTAAGAAACATAGGGAGGAGACCATCTTTGCTTAATAGAAACGTAGAGTGTAGGCCTTCTTTGCTCAGAAACACAGGGGAGACCACCTCTGCTGAGAAACATAGGGAGGAGACCATCTTTGCATAGAAACACAGAGGGGAGACCATCTTTGCTTAGAAACATATGGTACAGACCATCTTTGCTTAGAAACATAGAGCGGAGACCATATTTGCTCAGAAACACAGAGGGGAGACCATCTCTGCTAAGAAATATAATGAGGAGACCATCTTTGCTTAGAAACATAGGGTACACACCATCTTTGCTTAGAAACATAGAGTGGAGACCATCTTTGCTCAGAAACACAGAGGGGAGACCATCTCTGCTAAGAAACATAATGAGGAGACCATCTTTGCATAGAAACACAGAGGGGAGACCATCTTTGCTTAGAAACATAGGCAGGAGACCATCTATTCTTAGAAGCACAGAGAGAAAACCATCTTTGCTTGGAATCATATTAAGACTGTGGAGACCATCTTTGCTTAGAGCTACAGTCTCAATATAAGTCTTAGTAAGCAAAGATTGTCTCCACTGTCTTCACGTAGAAATATTGAGAGGAGACCATCTTTGCTTAGAAACATAAGGAGACCGTCTTTGCTAAAAATGGATTGAGGAGACCATATATGAAAACAGAAGGAAGAATATATATTATCATCATATTTGTATGAAGATGAATTGTTGTTCAGACAACTTGGTGGAGATAAAAAGACTGACCTTAACAAGACGCATGTGCCACATGTACAAAACATGTACATGTACCTATCCATGATATTTATGGGGAGAAGCCACAAAGGAGTTTAGTCCTTGAATGGTTACCACATTCATTTCATTTGTCTAAACTGTGTAAGATGGGAACACTACATAGTGAAATAAGAAAGGCAGAAACAACATCAACCAAAAGGAAATCATAGTTTAAAAGTTTTCATGAAATATGTAGGTGTGATAAAAAATAGAAGAACAAACCAATTCTAGATGTTTGTCTCACTCAAGTGGAAATGAAGTGGATTTGTGATCAGGCCTAGGAAAATAAATACTGTGTTTCCTGTTTCCCGACTGACCCTAAAAAAAACGCTGACGCCTTAGTTTTGTAGGCTTTTACTAGGGGCGTCTTTTGGACGCCCTGTACTGAAAATAAAAAGAAATTGGACGCCCTACTTTTTTTTAGGACGCCCCAAAGACGCCCTATTTTTTCCACTGTTGCTTTTTAAAATTAGGGATTTTATTCCAATATTTCCCCGATAAATGTGCTCGTCATTCCAATTTTCTTTGGCCTAGCGGCGTGGTTCGAGCCGCTAAAATGAAATTTGTCCAAAAAAATTTCCCGGGGGAGAATGCCCCCGGACCCTCATAGAAAGCAAAATAAAAAATAAGAAATAAAAGTAAAATAAAATAAAATTATCCCTACCTACCGACCCTAATTTTTTCAGGAGTGAAACAGGAAACACAACATTTTTTTTCCTTGGCTAGTCTCTGTCAGGCTTCTTGGGATGCTGAAAACTCTGACTGGTCTACTCCTCTGCCAACTTATTCTTAAATTTGGCCAATTCTGTTACAATTTTGTGTGAATGAGTTATTCAGGTAGCCAAAAGTCTGGTAGGGACAAATTATCTACATCTGGTATGATGTTAGTTACAACTGTTAGTACATTACCCATTCAACACTGAAACAGAGGGGAGATTTTGGTCTACCAATATTATAATACTGTAAACAGTGCATCATAAGAATAAAGACAAACATTCCTATATTTTGACTGTTGGTGTTTATACTGTCTTCCATAATCAATTTGAAACATTCATACATGTAATTCGTCAGTTGTAAAGGTTAACATAGTTTGATGAAGGCATGAGATCGGGGAACTCTAGTTTATCACATTTTTTTAGTACTGAAAATTATTGTCTTAAAAAAAAACGTGCTAGCTTCTTTTACATGGGATAGCTATAAAAATTCTATTCCGTATACCACCAGGAGTTACAGCAGTCTTGAATCTAAGGCCGTGTCTAAACGGAATCACCCAGGGCGGTTTACATGTGGTTTACCCCGAAGCCGGTTTCAAGTGGCTCCATCTGAACGCTCCAAATCACATTGAAAGCGCCTCGACCCCAAGCCACTTCTAGAGGTGGTTTCGAATCGGTTTTCCCGCATCGCGATTTGCAATTGCGTCTGAACGCAATGTGATTTCAATGTGACTTCACTTGGGATGGATTACGGGGTGATATTTCTTTATTTATATGCAATACCAAATTTTACGTGTCTGCAACTCAAAGAGTAGACTAAGTAATGGTCAAATAATGTGTCCGTTCTAGGGCGAGCTTCACCGCCTCTGGCGGGATCACGTCGGCATTCGGTCGAGATACGCTGGGAGGGGGGCACCAGCAAGCAGGTCGTTGACCTCTGACAATAATGACTTTGACCTCTGACAATAATGTTGAATGTTTTCATCAAACAACAATGAATGTAGTTTCGGAGAATCGTGATCGGACACGTTTTAACAGGAATGTATGGCACGTGGACCAAATGTGAGGAATGTGAGTTCGCGGTTTGGGTGACTTCACATAAACACGGCCTTATTCTGGTGAATTAATGTTACAGTAGGGGTGCTATCCCGTTAAGTTACCATACAGAGAAATGCACACATAACTAGGCCACAGCAAGTAATTTCTATGGATGACATCAGTGCGCACATTAATTTTCACCTGATTTTGGAATAAAAAAAAGAGAAATTTTGTTGCCCTCTGATGTCTGTTGTCATGCCGGAACGTGGATGGCAGATAACTATGAAGAGAGAAGACAAGAAAACTCTCTGATTTAAAGTTTTGTTTTTCACTTTGTTGCCGTGATATGTGATATTTGCCGTGGCCTTACTATGTGTCATCAAAAAACGCCGTCACAAAAACTGCAGGGTGACATGCATGTGGTGCGTACGCGTGACAGTTTATAATACGTGTAGTTCTTTGACGAGCTGTGTTATTGTACAGACGATCTGTGGGCGGCACAGCGGGTTTTGAGTTGAGAACGAACGAGTTTTTTTTTAGTTTGATGTGTTCATGCCAACACACAGCAGGTGCGCAGGTGCGGCGTCGATGAGGGAGGCTGGAATCTTCCAAACAAGCGAGGGGGGGCGTTTTTGTTAACAATCAATGAATGTGACTCTGTACGTGTATAGAAAACATTAGACTGTTAAAAAAAACGTAGGTGACCACCTGGCCAACGCGACCGCGACCACCCTGAATTGGGTCCGCTCAAGGCCTGATACCGGGCCACATCATTTTAGGGTCATGTTGATTATTGGTGATAACTAATGAGAAATCATGGAAAAAAACAGCCAGAATACTCGTAGTTCAATTTCATCTGAGGCCACAGCAAGTAAATTTTATGGATGACATCCTCCGCAGACTCCAAATCTAATGCGAGCGGGCGAAAAAAAACAAGGCGGGCCGAAAAAACAAGATCCATACATTCTCTCTATACATTCTCAAATTTTGACTCAATCATTGTACAAATGATTTAGCGGTTTCAACCGGTTTTTCAAAAACCGGTTTTTATTTAATCTGATGTGAACGCAAATTAACCGTTTTTTTACGGGTTTAAATCCGATTTTGAAAAACCACTTCGGGAGGTGGTTTTTGAGGGGTTTTTGTGGGGGTTTTCCACCGAAAAACCTGGTCTGAACGCTAATGGTTTATTGAACCGGTTTTTGCGTCAAAATTCCGGGATCACAGGGTCAGCATCCTGGCCGTGTGCGACCTGCAAGCTTTTTTGATCTCGTTGTTTTGACCAACTTGAGTTCGTTTCCACTGTTTTTCCATGGTTTCTCTTCATTTTGCCATGGAATCAGCAAACGCAACCTGGTCGGCGGGCGAGACGCTCCTGATACTTAGGTTTGGAGAGCAGGAGTCGCCGAATTCGAAAAAGCTAGGAGGGGGGGG